AGTCCTGTGCAAACATGCCATGTTTCCAAATCTTTATCAACAAATTTAATAATGATAATAATAATTCAGCATTATCAATCTCACATTGGAGAAATGTAGCGCTGCATTTCACCCAGGGGTCGGCAACCTGCGGCTCTGGAGAAATTTATGAAAATCTATTTACGGTATTTTGTTTTAATATGGTGTGCAGGTTGCAAACAAAAATGTATGTTTTCCAATGCTTTAAACATTTGCATTATAAATAAATTTAAACAATAATTTGCGTCAAAGCCATAGAGATCAGTGGTCATAACTTGGAACCAGCGTGGCGCGGTGCCAGGCAAATAAAGCTGCAGGTGTGTCTCGGAATATGAATCCCAAAGGGAAAAAAAGGAAGATTGCTGATGAGAAAAGCAGATTCAAATAGGCCGAATCATTTGCTTTCATTATCAAGGCTGAAAGATTGCCTGCATTTTCGTTTTGTAATGAGAGGTTGTCAAAAAATAAAAATAAAAATTTGGAAAGGCATTTTCAGGGAAGGCTAAATCTGCAGCCCACCACCAAGCTGGGAGGGAGAGAAAAGGTGTGATTGCAGGATAAATTAGAGGAGCGCAAAGATAGATTTAATAAGTGGATTGCATTTCCAAACTCCACTACTGCTGCTAGTTTGGTTGCAAGGATGGAAAACCGTCCTTAGATCAAACAGGCAGCGCTTTGATGCAGGTTTCTGAACTTTCTTCCATTTTTTCCCCAAATCCTACAAATATTAATCAGACCAAGGAACGATGGTGACAGAGGATGTGGGATTTCGGGGCTAGAGAGCTCTGCTCTGATGTCACTTCCTGATTGGTTCCTCATGACTCAATAAACTCCTCCCAACAGAAACACGTCCACCATAGAAAGATTTCTTTATTGTGTTTCTATAAATTCATCATTGCAAGAAAACTTAAACCGTGCAGTGAAGGTGGTGAAGCGGTGCGCGATGGGAGCGTTCACTGTTCCTCCGTCACCTCAGGCTGCTATGTGACATTTGCTTCAGGATAAACATTTAATCGTGAATGCTTATTAAATATGAAGCCCATATAGTCTCCTTCTATAGTGGGATAAAACACTTAGAGCCCGTGTTGCTATACGAGGCTGATGTAAGGCTTTTACATTTTTGCGGCTCCAGACAGATAATTTTTTTTTTTTTGGTCCTATATGGCTCTTTGAGCAGTTTAGGTTGCCGACCCCTGATTTAACCCATCCACTTGGAGAGAAGTGGGCTGCCATCGTGGGGCGCCTGGGAAGCAAACAGGGGTTAAGGGTCTTTCTCAGGGACCCAAAGTGGCAGTCTGGGTGTGGGGCTCAAACCTCAGGATCCCAAGCTCTGCTCTAACCACTAGACTGCCACTCCCCCACTTTAAAAAAAATAAATGTATGGGCTATTTTTAATTCCTGCATGATTGTTTTCTATTTCTAATGACTACATAAAAAACTCCACAATCCACATTGTAAAAGTATTCGGTCCCTTTAACTTTTAAACCTTTTGCCACATTTCAGGCTTCAAACATAAAGATATAAAATTGTTTTTTTGTTAAGAGCCAACAGCAAGTGGGACACAATCATGAAGTGGAACCAAATGTATTTGAACCTGGCCTTTATGATCAGATATAAAGATTACTGTATGGCATCCCCATCTGCTGGAACTAACTTCAAACATTAATCAACTTTCCAGTAGCTTTAACTACCGATCCAGTGAACTCTCTTATTATCACATTGTAAATGCTACTTGTATCTTATGCCTTTTGGTATCCAGCATTTGTCGCGCTTTTTTATGCTGAAAGTTTGACTTTTTCCTCTTTCTTTCCCCACCTTCTCCAGGGACGTTACTTGTTTACTTGCGAATGCACAATATTTCACCTCCGTTCACATGGTGATCTTAAGGTAAATACCAAAAAAGGCTTCATTTGACACAGAAACTGACCAAAACAAAGAAAGTTAACACAGAAAGTAGTCCCTTCGGTCATCTATCAGTTTAAGGTTTTGGCTTGAATGTCAGTCTTGTATACCCCCCGCCCCCCCTCCCCCGGTTTCCATGGAAACATTTTTATCACAGGCCAATAGACATTTGGAATGATCTTTTGGGCCAAATATAATCACCCAGAGGTCCAAACTGGGCCTAGGGGCCTGAGTTTGACTCTACTGTGTAATAACCACCCATTGTTTAGGAACTTAGAGATTTATTTTTTTTGATGAAACATTTTAAATACATATTTCCTCAATTTGTTAACCGGAAGTGTGCAATTCCCTTCGGACAATGAGGTCCAGGATGGCTTTCAGACCGTATTTACGTCACACTGCGTGCCCCTGTTTTGGCATCAGACTGAGGACAATGTCGGATTTCACCAGCAAAGTGACGACTGCTTGTACCACAAAGAGAACTTTTTTTTGTCCTCACTTTGTTTTTGTTGCTAACTGTTGAGTTACAGGGTGACTGAGAGTACGGTGTGATTATGTAATGTTAGTATTGCAGTGTTTCCCGCAGCCTCGCCAAACTCACGCTACCGCCTCGCCAACGTTCCAAAAAAAAAAAACAAAAAAAAAAAACGAAGTTTTAATTCATTGCCAGGCACAGACCTTAAAACAGCATTGATACCTCTACGACTGATAATACTGAACTGCGACACCCACTGGTTGGTTATATTACTACGCCATGGCAGAGGAGTAATTTTCTTTGATCATCCGAGTAATCATTTTGACTATGTATTGGGATGTAATTTACGGTGCTGGAAAAAGTTTTAAAATGGATCTTGAAAGTGCTTGAAAAGTGCTTGATTTTGACTTTGGAAAAGGTGTACGAACCCTGTAGTAGCCTAACCTACCTGAAGCATGTCTGTTATTTTAATTATTTTCTCTTTACAGATTGTAAAAAGAACATTCTGCATGCCTCCTGATTTTAGAGCCTTATTTTTAACCATCCCCACATTAAAATGAGTTTAAGATTAAAGTCTGAATCAGCCCAGTGTCTCTACTTATTTATGTTAGCTGTCAATCTTAGCATAAAGAGGCAGTGTTTTCCTACTTACCCTCCTGCCCATGTGGGTCCGTTAGAGTCTCTTAACACCCGCTGCACCTCCTCCCTTTCCTGTCCCTGCAGCCCCCTCCCTTCCTTTGCCTATATTGATCTGTGTGTGGGTTTGGGGGGGGGGTGGAGGTGCCTGCTCTCCACTCTGAATGATGAGTTAACTGGAATCTGTTGTGTAGCTTTTTGGTAATGTTATTACATCAAATGTTTCCCATCATTAGAGTCTCTGTCTCTTATTGCTAGTAGGAACTGATGGCAATGGCCGCCTTAAACCATCTATATCTAGGAAGTGACTCATTGAAATGGTCCGATCAGCTGATGAGACTAAATATGTCTAAAGAAATTAGCTACTTCCTTTCAGGATTCTTTAACTTTGTCTATTTTCTCTCCCCGGATAGGCTTATCAGCAGATGCTGGTGGTTAATAAGGTCCAGGAGCCCCTGCTAGGACCTTAGTATGTAATTCATGCTGAGCACACGGCTTGACTCAAATAACACTGCATATGCAAATACACTATATTGCCAAAAGTATTTGCTCACCCATCCAAATTATTGGAATCAGGTGTTCCAATCACTTCCATGGCCACAGGTGTATAAATTCAAGCACCTAGGCATGCAGACTGTTTTTACAAACATTTGTGAAAGAATGGGTCGCTCTCAGGAGCTCAGTGAATTCCAGCGTGGAACTGTGATAGGATGCCACCTGTGCAACAAATCCAGTCGTGAAATTTCCTCGCTCCTAAATATTCCACAGTCAACTGTCAGCTGTATTATAAGAAAATGGAAGTGTTTGGGAACGACAGCAACTCAGCCACGAAGTGGTAGGCCACGTAAACTGACGGAGCGGGGTCAGCGGATGCTGACGCGCATAGTGCGAAGAGGTCGCCAACTTTCTGCAGAGTCAATCACTACAGACCTCCAAACTTCATGTAGCTCAAGAACAGTGCGCAGAGAGCTTCATGGAATGGGTTTCCATGGGCGAGCAGCTGCATCCAAGCCATACATCACCAAGTGCAATGCAAAGCGTCGGATGCGGTGGTGTAAAGCACGCCGCCACTGGACTCTAGAGCAGTGGAGACGCGTTCTCTGGAGTGACGAATCGCGCTTCTCCATCTGGCAATCTGATGGACGGGTCTGGGTTTGGCGGTTGCCAGGAGAACGGTACTTGTCTGACTGCATTGTGCCAAGTGTAAAGTTTGGTGGAGGGGGGATTATGGTGTGGGGTTGTTTTTCAGGAGCTGGGCTTGGCCCCTTAGTTCCAGTGAAAGGAACTCTGAATGCTTCAGCATACCAAGACATTTTGGACAATTCCATGCTCCCAACTTTGTGGGAACAGTTTGGAGCTGGCCCCTTCCTCTTCCAACATGACTGTGCACCAGTGCACAAAGCAAGGTCCATAAAGACATGGATGACAGAGTCTGGTGTGGATGAACTTGACTGGCCTGCACAGAGTCCTGACCTCAACCCGATAGAACACCTTTGGGATGAATTAGAGCGGAGACTGAGAGCCAGGCCTTCTCGTCCAACATCAGTGTGCGACCTCACAAATGCGCTTCTGGAAGAATGGTCAAAAATTCCCATAAACACACTCCTAAACCTTGTGGACAGCCTTCCCAGAAGAGTTGAAGCTGTTCTAGCTGCAAAGGGTGGACCGACGTCATATTGAACCCTATGGATTAGGAACGGGATGTCACTTAAGCTCATATGTGAGTCAAGGCAGGTGAGCAAATACTTTTGGCAATATAGTGTATGTGCAAAACTGTTTCGTTTGTGTGCGCCTCAAAGTATTCGTGCATGGAGCTTCTCTGCGGCGCTCTAAGACGGAGAAATCAGCCCTCAGGGCAAAGAAAGAACCCGTTAGATGCTCTCCCACACTAATAAGTCCAAACGCATGTCATGTTTTCTGTGAGGGTGTCTGTTTGCGTGGACGGCCCCCCACTGGGCGGGGCAGCCCCACTCTTCCTTATTTGGACGGTTGAGGTGGGGGTCGGGTCTCACATGGGAGGACAGCTGAATTCAACCGACTAGAACAAAAAAGTCAGGCGTGAGACTCGTCGTCTGCTGGCGAGCGTGGAAGTTCAGCAGGGCATCAGGTCTGAAGATAAGAAGAGAGGAAGAGAGAGGAGGAGAAAGAGACGCAGCTTAGAGGGAAAGGGAGATAAGAGAGGAGGAAGAGTGGGAGAAAAGCAAAATGCCCACTAACTTTACTGTGGTCCCAGTTAAAGACGGCTCTGGAAAGGCAGAGGACGGCAACAAGGAGGAAGATGTGGATGAGAACAATGTGCTGAGAGAGGAAGAAGATCCTACAGGTGAGATTAGATCAGGTTGTTTTTTAGTTATTCAACGTTGAGACCATTTTTTATAGTTTTCTGTACCATGTAGACCTATTATCTGACATTCTGAGGTGTTTTTTAAACATCATTCATCTACTGAGCCTGTAGATAAGAAAGCTTTTCCAGAAAGTTCCAGAGTTTGCTTACAGGAAGGAACCAACCCAAGCTCACAATTCAGCTTTATTTTGAGGGTAATTACTGCTTTTATTTTGATTTTTTAAACTGTTTATGGCTGCGTGTGGGCGGATAATGTGAGATAAATGCTGCGTTTTTAGGGACCGACCGCTTGTTCACTGTCCAACTGCTGCACCAGTGAGTTTCCCTCGCCAGTCAAGGAAGTGTGACATGAGGACGGGTCCATTGTTTCCCTTTATGCCTGAGTGTCCCTGTCTTTCCATTTGTCCTTCCTTCACAGCTGGAAACTCACAGGGTGGTTTTGTTTTTTTAAAGTTTTCTTAGGAACCAGATCCTAAGCCAACCCGCTCTTTCTGCTCTGCTCTAAGTGACCTTCTATAAAATCATGGACTTTAACATCAAGCTCTTTGCCAAAACCTCATACTAAACCGTCCTTTAATGGAAACTATACATTTCAATATGTAAAAATCCAAACATCTTCTACTTATCTTTAGGAATAACAATCAAATTGATTCAGTTTGCTTTAAATTTTGGTTGTCTTTGAAAAACAAACAAAATGTTACATGTATGGGAGTTAAAACTTTGATTTTAAAAACAACAATAATAATTTTTTTTAAAACATATTCGAAACCATAAAAACTCTTGATTGATTGGGGTTCTTCCCAATTAGGATCAGAGAAATGGAACCATATATTGATTGAGAAAAGATTAAAGAATTGATCCTATTGGGATTCTTAAAGCTACAGTGTGTAATTTTCAGCGACATCTAGCGGTCAGACTGCAGACCGCAGCAACATGAACATCTCCCCCCCACCGCTTCTCCCCCCCAACAGTACGGCGAGCGTTACGGGACAAAATTTCTTCCACGACGTCCACATCACCTACCTTCTCAAGTGATGAGGTTTGTTTACATAGATAATTTTACAGATAGTATTTCATTAGTCTGAGTAGGGTATAGATTTCATGTAGACTTAAGATAATAAATATACCCGTTATTTTTTCTACATCGTTGTGACGTTTTGGTGAGCTGCTTTGCATGGTGATATAAACAGACGAAGTAATTGTAGTCATTAGTTTAACAGCGAGATTGTGTTCGCTGGAAGAATATATATTCCCCGTTTACAGAGTCTAAGTCATTTTGGTGGCACGGGGGTTACAACGCGAGGAAGAGGGAGAGGACGAGGGCGAGGGCAGGGAGGCCGTGCAGCTAGGGCCAGGCGAGAGAGGGGTGCCAGCGGGGTGAGAGCAGAGGAGGAAAGGCTTGAAGATCTCCAAAGGAGCTGGAGAGAAGTAACCGAGGTATATATCCAGAAAATCATTTTACAGAAAATTACTGAATCATTACCTATGAAACGTCAGGGACGTTGCTGAATAAGTATACTGGAGAGTAACAGCATCATCACGCAGCATGTTATTGTTTTAGACAGGTCTGAGCATCCTGTACTCCAAAAACTGCAGTGATATTAGACAATTGTGTGTGTAGGATTAATTACCTGTCCAAGAGAAAACTGGCAACTTGAGCGTCACTTTGAAAACCTTTTTCCTCCATCAGTGACTTCCATCGTGTAAATGCCGTGCCAATGTTGATCCGTGTTTTTTGTCGTTTCTTGTCACGCTTGCGTTTATTCTCGTCGTGTTTCCGCTTCTTAGATGACTGGGGTTCGGTGTCCGCCGCTTTTCGTTGTGATACAGAGTAGGCATGATCCTCCATTCGTCTGATGTTTGGCCACACAGTGCCAAACAGTTTGCAAAGTCACTCACGCCTGCCGCCTTGTTCACCTTTCTTGTTACTGAGGCGCAGTATACCTGCTTCTTCTTCTTCTTTGGTTTCAGGCAGACTAAACGCTTCTCAGGCATAATACTGCCATCTACTGTTCAGTACCGTCTCAGTTCATCTCTCTCAACTTGCCGTAGTTATTTTTGAGCGTCATGGGAGATCTCGCAATCGCTAGTTTGTTGCCTCTGCGCTTGCCGTAGCGCAAAGATGTCAGCCTCCATGGCTGCGAGACCCGCTCCTATGTAATTATAAATAACGAATTCTAAGGCAACGCAAATATTATGGTTAAAAGGCTGAGCTCATAGGTGATGATAAATAACATAGTTATGTATAATATATAAAATTTCTGACTTTATATCCCTGTAATTATTACACACTGTAGCTTTAAGATTATTAATGGTTTATTTTTCAGCCTGATTGCTGGAGTGTTTATTTATTTTTTAAATCTTACCTGTTACTGGAATTGCCTGACTACTTATGCAGCATATTAATACTAGTACTTAATTCACTTGAACAACATATTGATAAAATTATAGTAATTAATTGCAGCTTTGAGAACAGTGAAAAATGCATTTTATTTTATTTTAGTTTCTTCTTCTAACACAGCCCTTCCAGTTACAGTATCACAACGTTGTTCTTAATTAGGAAAAAAATGTAAACTGATTAGCAGTTAGATGGTTTCTTGTGTTCTGGGACAGAAGCTAATATAGCAGATTTAATCCGTGTATCATTCGTTCTTTCTATTTTCAATTGTCAATCAAACGACAAAAAATAAAAAAATTGACTGGTTATTTTGTTTTTTGTTCTTTATGATTAAACCAAAAACGAAAAAAGGATTGGTTTTTCATATATCAATTTTAAGCTCAGATCAAGAATACGAAATGGAAAAATGGACAGCAACGCATAATTTGATTTTAATATTTAATCGGTACAGTTTATGTGACCCGGAAGTTTGGTGGAGCGTTAGCTAAAAAAACAATTGGCTTACTCCCACCACGTTCGATCAAGCTGCACCAGATAAGGCAGTCGGACCTATCAGCCATGGACAGTTACGTGTTATTTCGAGGATCCAAGCGTGTAACTCTTAAGGAGGAGGAAATGACAACGGAGAAAATCAGCAGGATTTTCCAGGTATAACTTTTTTCTTGAAACTTTTCTGTGCACTGTACTTTTAACTAGCAACAACAAACAGCTTCTCGATCAACATAGTGTGTGGTTCTAGCGTCGCCATGGTAGCCACTTCATTACCCCAACTGCTGTGCAAAGAGCTATTTCCGGGTCACGTAAACTGTACCGATTAAATATTAAAATCAAATTATGCGTTGCTGTCCGTTTTTCCATTTCGTATTCTTGATCTGAGCTTAGAATTGATATATGAAAAACCAATCCTTTTTTCGTTTTTGGTTTAACCATAAAAAACAAAATAACCAGTCAATTTTTTTTTTTTTTTTTTTGATTGGCAGTTGAAAATAGAAAGAACGAATGATACACGGATTAGATTTAGTTATTTGTTTTCTCTGATCTAATTCAAACAAACTCAGCTGTTTTTCTTCTTAGTTTTGTTTGTTTTGCAGCTCAACCAAAATCAGCCATGTTGTCTAATCTGCTCCTGGCTATTTTATCATCAGCTGGTTAGCTTTAGTCTAGGGCTTTTTTGTCTTTGTTGTAGTTTTTAACATTTTTAAGTTTATGATCCGATGGATCCTTTTGCTAAATAATTTTTATCCTACTGGTGGAAATGTTCACCATTCGTTTCTGAACCATTCTCCTAAACAGTAGTGGTGAGTATTAGCCTGGCTATTGCGAAACGATACGTGTCACGATACTAAGTTCCCAAAAAGATATTATCCCGATATTGCAATATCACTTTATATTGCAATATTTTTCCCAAGTGCATATACAGCAAGTGCTGTATGAGTTCATCAGAAGATATTGATCATTTAGTTATTTTGGTATCCATGTTGTTTGGGGTTTGAGTCCACATGTTCCATTGTGACTGCCTCAAATACAGATATGGATCTGCGCCGCACAGCAAAAAGGCTCCATAGCACTTTCTGAAGAGGTACTTAATTTTCCCTCATCGTTTTAGGTAAAAAAAATTTGTTTTTTAAAAACACACAACCCATTTATGGAGGCCTTAGTGCTCGACATGGCCAACCTGGGTTTGAATCCGGTCTGTGGTCCTTTGCATCATGTCTCTCCCTCTCTCATACCCCCTTTCCTGTTAGCCTACTGTCCAAAAAAACAAGCCACTGGTGCTGTAACCCCCCCCACTCTCCAATAAAAGAAAAAAAAATCGATATTAGGAACTGAAAAATATATATATCTGGCAGCCAAAAATCATGATATATCGCCAAAAGATTTTTTTCCACACCCCTACTAAACAGCAGAAAGTCGGTCTTCAAACGCTTCATCAGTGTTGTGTTGCTACTCAGCTTTTTAGCCCAGAGTCTAGCTGATGGCTGCTTTCCTCATCCTTTGACGTTTCTTGTTTATCTGCTTGGAAACAAGGCTTTGACTTTGTTGACCAAAGACAGTCATAAAGACCCTTTGGTGGATGTACTCACCAAGTTACCAAATTTATGGAAACGTGTTTTAAAGGAAGCAAGAGGTTCAGTGTCCGTTGTTCTAAGCCCTCCTGTGGGTTGCAACGTGGGTAGATAAAGACATCTAAGTGTGTATTAGCTTCGTGAGACCATCCTGATCTCGCGAGCTTTCAAGGTTTCACTCGCAGATCAGTCTGGAGACCCTCCCTAAAAGAAAATTTGGAGCCGTTCACCAAACGAACGTCCAATCAGCGTTGGCTTTGAGGCGGGTTGAGGTGTGACGCAACGAGAAGCGCGACAGCTCAATCCAAAGAACATGGCAGCTTCAGCCGATGAAACTAGCGTTAGCGTGGCTATCGAGCAAGTTTTATTGGAATTACAGAGTATTTCTTCACTGAAAGAAGAGCAAAACACTGCTCTGGAGGCTTTTCTCAGAGGAAAAGATGTTTTTGCTCTTCTCCCGACTGGTTTCGGCAAGAGTAGCCTGGCTTGTGGTTGTGTTTTCGTCGTCGCTCTGT